AATTTGAAAAGTTTATGGCCTCGGGGACGCGAGCACTGTGTAATTTACAAGGGTTTGTTGCCTCGGGGACGCAAACACATGCAATTTGGAACGGTTTATGCCCTCGGGAACGCGAAACTTACAATGGATTATTGCTTCGGGGACGCGACGATGTTGTAATTTACGAAGGTTTGTTGCCTCGGGGACGCAATCATTGAATAATTGACAAAAGGGTTTGTGGCCTCGGGGACGCGAACATTGCGTGATGTACGATGGATGATGGTCTCGGGGGCGCGAATATCACGTATTTTTCAATGTCCCACGCCTCCCTGGGAATTCAGAGCACGCGATCCGGCCGAGGTCAATTGCCTGTTTGGGGTCCCCCCCCCTTCGCGCGGATTTAAACAATTTGCAGTAACGAACAGAAACCAGGATTGTAACACTGGAGACTTGAAACTGCAACTGGCGCAGGGAGCAGCAACCTCGTCCTACATTTAGGTTGGGCATGTCCTCCTAGAGGCGGATTTGGGAAGAAAGATGGAACATAGTCAACACATACCCGAAAATAGTCCAACAGTAATCGGAAAGTCGCCCCCATATCGTTTTTTTCTTTCAAACAAAAACTATTATCGAACATTCCTCATGTAGAGGGACGTGCCCGCCTTAATCCTATAGCCTGGTGGCCCCGCAAGGGGGCCGGCGGATCTCTCTTTCCTCCCCACATTCTTCCTCCCTCCGCGCCCCGGCTGAACTTGTTTATCGCCATCATTGATTACCACCCCCAAAGAGCAATCCTCCTACCCCCCCAGAGAGAGCGAGGTGTGGCCATATCATATTATTGAATCGCTTCGTTCATTCCGCCGGCCCATAGGGAATTATGTATTCTTGCTTATGGGGGCTCTCTCGGGAGGCTTCTCGGTGGCCGCTGGGGGAGTCTTGAACGCGTCGCGGGCCGTCTGGAAGGGTTCTGCCTACGAGGACTCCTTCGGGAGGACTCTTGGTGGCCTCTTGGAGACTCTTAAACGCGTCGGGTCGTTGGCACTTGCTTGCGTGCTCGGGGGGGCATTTGGGGGGCCTCCTAGGACCGCTTGGGGGCCTGTTGGGGGCCTCCTGAGGGCCTGTTGGGGGCCTCTTGGGGCCTCTTAGGGGCCTCTTGTGAACTCCTGGGGGCTTCTTAGGGCCGAGGGCTCGAAACATTGTTTCGTGTTCCTGGGACCTCTCTTGGGGCGTTCTTGGGGCCTTCTTGGCCATCCTTGGAGGCCTCTGTGGCCGTCTTGGAGCCCTCTTGGGCCGTTTTGGGGCCCTCTTGGGGGCCTCTTGGACTCTTGGGCCCTCTTGGGGCGGTCTTGGGGGCCTCTTGGGCCGTCTTGGGGTGTCGGGAAGCCGAAAAGGTGAAAACGCCCAAATCACTCCAACACCTAAGGAAAAACAATATATTTTGCCTCTTGGGACCACCTTGAGAGTGCTCTTGGAGGCCTATTGGGCCGTCTTGGGGCCATCTTAGTTGGGCGTCTTGGAGCGATCTTGTGGCATCTCGGAGCTCTCTTGTATCGTCTTGAGGGGCTCTTGTCGGCCTCTTGGCCTTTCTTGGGGCTCTCTGGACGGCCTCGAGGGCGGCGCCCAGGAGGAAAACCATCTCTGACCCAAGTAGCCCGGGACCTGCCCGGGGTACTTTTCGTCCGGGGACCCCCAGGGGCCGCCCCGCGCGCGCGAAAAGTAGAATTCTTGTTAAGAAGTTGCCGGAGATCTTAGCACGCCTTTGGCCCGTTGGGCCGGCGAATTTCAAAGGTTTTTCGCCCCTCCCACCCCGCCAGGGAGGCCCCGCCAAAGCGAGCGGGGTGCCCCTATATATTATTTCTCAGGTTCCGTGCTCGTCCCACCCCATCCAGGGACGGCCCCGCCAGAACCAAAAGCGAGGAGGATTCCTCAGGCTTCGTGCTCCCACATCCGTACGCCTCACATGCCTACGTGCGACCTGCCGGGAACACATCTGATTGTCCCCCCAGGGCCCCGCACTTTATGGTCCCCATGGCGTGATCATCACCAACACAGGGTTGCCCATCAAGGGGGTCACTCGGCCAGCGGGGCCCAGGCCACGCCCGCGGGATGGGGACCTGCAAAACGATGCCCAGCTCCCTCCCTGAGCGGGTCCTCCTCCCGGCGCCTTCCCCGCGCGCTCTGCGGCTCGCCCTGTCCTTGGGGGCGCTTCTGCGGGGCAGCGACGACGGCACGGTCTTCTTCTGCAGGTCGGGCCACATTACGTCGACAAGATCGGAGTCGCACCACGGGGAGCTTGCCCAGGCCCTCCTCAGTTGAAGCCTTGGCATCGAGGTGCGCGGGCGGTGAGGTTTTCAACCGAGAGCCAGGCGCGCCCGTCAACATTTGGCCTCGTAGCCAGAAGTACCCAAAGTGCGCTTCGCAACTTTGCAGATGCCGCTCATCGATGACGCGTCGTCAAGAGTCACCCGGCGGCGTTGCGTCAATTGCGACCGGAGGTGCCAGGTGGTGCGGATCAGGAAGAGGGCTTGGAGGAGGGCGAGGAATTAGACCAGAGAACCCATCGGTCGCTGAAAGGCGCCTTCCTACTTCAAGAGTCGAACGGTTGTCTCTCTTCCCGCCTCTTCAGGCGGCGGGCGGAAGCCCAATATCCTTTCAACGCCTTCCTACTTCATGCTTCTACCTAACCCGGCGCGGGCGATAATAATGTACTCCCCTTTAGGCCATGTATGTTTAATTTACCCGTTCAACAGGATTTAATTGTGCAGAAGGGCGCGGAGGCCGAACTTTTATCATCCACGGGAGAAGTTGCGAATCGAAGTTGCTGTCATCTCATGTTGATTAGCAACATCATCAAACGCGCTGAGCATGGCCATGGTGGTCTCACCACATCAGCTTCCGCAATCACGAGCGTGTGGCAGGGCTGTGGGATTCTCACCAGTTCAATTTGCCCAAGTTGCGAACGTGCGGCATGGCCATGGAATTCATCATCATAATCACCATTCCATCATCATCATCATCATCATCATCATCATCATCATCATCATCATCATCATCATCATCATCATCATCATCATCATCATCATAGCTTCACCTTCCCTGGGCGGATCCTTTATGATCCCCGCCAGACCCCCGAACTTTATTTATCCCCCGGGTATTTTTCTCGCCCGCACAGGGCCACTTCTTCCGACCGATGGGTAGTCCCAAGACGCATCGACGAAGTTGCAACTTCGGTAGAGACTGCAAGCATGTTTCACTACGGGAGAGTCGTCCCCACGGAAGGCGAGCGCCCCGTGCGCCCGTCAGTCAGGTGGCAGCTAAAGTTTGAGCGAAACAGCCTTCCACACTTCAAGCGGTGGGTTTGTTTTCTACCGCCACCACCATACATAGGAGGGGGAGGGGGTCGTCCTCCCCCTCTTCTTCATCCGCCTCCTCATCATCCACCTCCTTCCCCCCTTCAGTTTATGATGGTGGTGGTGGAAAGCAGACCTATCATCAAGCTGTATGTCCGAGGCGGGAAGTTATCCATAGCCACCGCCGCAGGCGGTGCGGGATTCTCATGCGAATTGCCTGGCCTGCCTCACGCGCGTGGTGATGCGGCGGGCGGGAGGTTGGTTGTTTCGCGTTTTTTTGTTCAGGAAGACGGTTGAGGAAGACAGAGGGTAAGGACGACGAACAGGAGGAGGCACAGGGAAAAACAGGTTGCCATGTATCGTGCATGGGGTCGGAGCTCCTGCGATCGGGCCTCTGCGCGCGGGCAGGGCGCCAGCCTCAGAGGCTAAGCCTGGTGCCCCTGATGCACGCCGTACACAACTGTCAGACCATGGAGGGGCACAGTTACTGACTGGGCGCGCAGCGTCACACGTGCTGTTACCTTGGCATCGCTCGGACGTGTGCATTTTTCCTTCGGCGAGGGCCATCGAGGAGCATCCTTGATCATTTGGCGAAAACACCACGCACGAAATCGAAACAAACACAGGATATGGACGTCCGAGCGATGGCCAGTTACTCTTGCGTCTGAGCTCGGCATTGGTGCCTGAGTCTGCGCTGCCGCAGTGTCTTTCCCATTGCCGCAGCGTGATAAGGCGGCATGTCGGAGGCGGAGAGGAGGAGTCGGAATGGTTGGAGGACAAGGGGAACGTGGAGGAGAAGAGGAGGAGGAGGAGGAGGAGGAGGACGAAGAAATGAGGATGGATAATGGATGAGGGCAAAAAGTGGGAGGATGAGCGTGTGTACGCGGAGGAGGAGGAGGAGGAGCAGGAGGAGGAGGAGGAGGAGGAGGAGGAGGAGGAGAAGTGAGAGGATGATGTGGAGGAGCAGGGGGAACGGACAGGAGGAGAAGGGAAGGGAGGAACAGGGGAATGAGAAATCGCTCGGGCCCGAGAGCAGCGGTGTCGGCACCAGAAAACCTGGATCATCTCAAGGCCCAAAAGACAGGGGGGCAATGCAACAGGGCCCTCCTCCTCCTCCTCCTTCTTCCCCTCCTCCTCCTCCTCCTCCTCCTCCTCCTCCTCCGCTTGCCTCCTGCTCCTTCTCCTCCTCCTCCTCCTCCTCCTCCTTCCTCGTTCCCCCTCTCCTCCTGACTCCTCCTCCTCCTCCCCCTCCTCCTCCTCCTCCTCCTCCTCCTCCTTCTCCTCCTCCTCCTCCTCTCCCCTCCTCCTTTGCATCAGGGAGCAACGCACTGGAGGGGCTACGGCGAGAGGGGTCGGGCCTCAAGAGGCGGGGGTCAATGCAAGCGGGGGTCAGCCAGAGCGCCCGATCTTGCAGGATCCTGCAGGGCCAGGGGCGCACTGACCTGGGTTAGCGTGCAGGGTCCTGCAGGATGTTGTTGGATCTTGCAAGGCCCGACTGACCAGGATTTGCATTGACCCGGGTCACTAGATCCCCGATCATTGTGGAGCATCTTTGATTCTCTCCAGCAAAAACAGGCACGCGCAAAACCCAGCAGTGCACCTGGAATGGACGTCCGAGCGGTGGCAAGCGCCGTCCAGCTTGCCACGATGGGGGCCGCACAGCCCCGCGAGGTGCTCGACGGAGGCGCGCTGGTCGCGGGGCAGGAGGTGATCCTCTCGGACCTGCAGGGCGAGAGGCTAGACGAGGACATCCGTGGCTGCCGCCGCCTGCCCGGGGGGGTTCTGGCATTAAGTACGGGGCCCAAGCACATGCACCACCACCACCACCTTTCTCACCCCCTCCCCCCCCCCCCGGAAAGAGGAGGGGAGGAGGAGGGTGGAGGAGAGAGGGTGAACAGAGGTGGTGGTGGTGTATATTCTCGGGAACCGCCGGAAGAGCGGCTCGGGGCAGGAGGCAGTTTTTGCAGCTCCGATTCCCTTGCGATCAGGGGCGTGACTGGAGGTGGGGGACGACCGCGTCACGACTCGCGCCAGCGCCCTCTGACTTAGGAACGGCTCATTCTTAGGAGCGGTTCCTTCCCAGACGGCGCCGGCGCGGCGCGAGTCGTGACGTGGCCAAGCGAGGGGGCGGGTTTGGCGGGCCGTTCACGGGCGTTCTCGCGAATTGTAGACAAACGTGTTTTTTTCCATGCGAGGCGGGGCTTTACAGTCGGGGCCCTGAAGAAGGAACCCTTTTCGTTGGGGAGGGGCTCCGCGTTCCTGAAGTGTTTCGCAGCTTGCCTCAGGTTTTCTTTTTGTTTTCGATAGGACATCGAAGCTTAACTTATGGAAAAAGGGGCCTCGTTCCTTATTTTGGGTTCCTTAGGTCAAGGCCCCGACTGTATCCATAACCAACCCGTGGCGGTCGATCTTCGGGGACCTCGGCTTGCGGTGGATTTGGGCGTGGTCGGGCCCCCTCGGGCCAGAATATGGCCACATCCACCGCCCGCTGGGGTCCACTGGGAGTCGATTCCACCCCAATGCATATTTGATCGAGAGCCCCCCCCCCCTGGAGGAGTACGCCCGTGAGCCTCGCGAATGGTATCGCTCCCCTCACCTGAGGTCGTGGCCCTGTGGGCGTGGCGTTGTGAAGGGTGACTTCTTTCGCCGAGAGCTTTCCGAGACAAAGGTCGCAGGGCCTCGTGAATTGGATCGCTCCCCCCCTGAGGTCGTAGCCCTGTGGGCGTGGCGTGATTGGTGCCGGTGCCCTCCCCCTCCCACTGAGTGTGGGGTGGTTAGTCGTCGTCGTCGTCGTCGTCGTCGTCGTCGTCGTCGTCGTCGTCTTCCGTCGGCGTCGGCGTCGTTTTCCGTCGGCGTCGGCGTCGGCGTCGGCGTCGTCTTCCGTTAGCGTCGGCGACGTTCTCGTTGTCGTCGTTGTCGTCGTGTTCGTCGCCGTCGTCGTCGTCTTCGTCGGCGTCGGCGTCGGTGTCGTCGTCGTCGTCGTCGTCTTCCGCGTCGGCGTCGGCATCGGCGTCGTCTTCCGTCAGCGTCGGCGTCGTCTTCGGTCGGCGTCGGCGTCGGTCGGCGTCGGCGTCGGCGTCGTCTTCCGTCGGCGTCGGCGTCCTCCTCGGCGTCGGCGTCGGCGTCGTCGTCGTCGCTCCCCCCCTATCCCATCTGGAATCCGGAGGTGGGGGGGCTTTGAAACCTGGGGGCCCATCCCATCTGGGGGTTGGGCCCGTGAACCCTTGACCCGGGATCATCCCCGCCTCGCATTCCATTCTTTCCAGCCTGGCCAGTTTCTCCGTAATTTGACCAGTCCTGACGGCCTCGTCCCTTCGGGCTCGTTGCGGCCCCTTTCAGTTTTTCCAGACCCCGCCACTTCCACTTTGAGAGGATTTCCAACTTTCATAGTTTCCAGTTTCCCTGTGCCGACAGGTGCCGCTACCCTTACCTCGATGTCGCACGTCTGGGTCCCCGGAGAGGCCCCCGTCGCCGCGGCTGGATTCGCTTCGAGTTTCTGGCCAGGACGCACCCTGGGAGACGTCCGTGGAGTAGCATAGCGGCCTTGCGAGGGGGCCAGGGAGCCTGTTCGTCCTCGCGCCGTCGGCGTCGGCGTCGGCGTCGTCTTCCGTCGGCGTCGGCGTCGGCGTCGTCGTCCGTCGGCGTCGGCGTCGGCGTCGGCGTCGTCGTCGTGTTCTTGTCCATTCTCGTGGCGGCTCGTCGGCACAGCGGGGCGCTGCTGAATATAGGGGGTCGGGGCCTGAGCCCCATCGGGGCTCCTGGGGCCGAGGTGGAGCCGATTCCAGCCAGGAGGTTTGCCTTGCATCTGCGGGGGACCTCGCCTGTCCCCAAGATTGGGGCCTCTTCTTGGGCCCGACGCGGGCTCCATGCGGACTCGACGCGGATTTGGCGTGGGTTCGGGTGAGCAGCGTGTGAGGTGGAGACCCGTGCCAAGGAACACCCTTTTGGCTTCTTGGGTTTCGATGGTTGTGCCATGGAGAGCGTGACTTTCCCACACCATAAGTCCATGGACGTCCTGGGGTCTCAAGGTTGGGTTTCTTGTGGAAGGTTTCTTGTGGTCGGGCTCCCACCGTAGGAGGTCGGGGCCAGAGCCCCAGAGGGGCCCGAAGGCCGAGATGGAGCCGATTCTAGCCAGGAGGTGCACAACGTGTTCTCCTTTCTATGAGGCTCGTGTGCACAGGGCTCGTGCGCACAGGTGAGCGTTTCACGTCCACGCATTCCTGGTTGAGCACCAGCTCGACTTGCTCGACCGCGCTATCGAGGTCTTCTGGCTGCTCCGTGCTCCCTTGCGCGGGGAAGCCGACCTCGCGCCTCCTTGCTTTCACCAGGAAGTGTCCGGTTCGGGCCGGTTCGGGCCGGTTCGGCGGCGGACCGGTTCGGTTGCAGCGGTTCGATTTCGGCGCCGGTCCGGTTTTGGTCGGTCCGGTTTTGCCAGTCCGGGTCGGTTATGCCGGTTCGGTTCGGCGGTCGTGGGACGGTCCGGTTTTGGGGGGGCCGGTTTTGGGCCGGAGGAGGAGAAGGAGGAGGAGGAGTGAGGAGGAGGAGGAGGAGGAGGAGGAGGAGGAGGAGGAGGTTTAGGAGAGGTGCCCGGCGAGGTGCCTCGCTGCAGTCGTCGTCGCCGTCGTCGTCGTCGTCGTCGTCGTCGTCGTCGTCGCCGCCGTCGTCGTCGTCGTCGCCGCCGTCGTCGTCGTCGTCGGGCGCCCCCGGACCTCTCGGCCCCTTCCCTCATGCCGCTCTTCCCCTCGTCTCCGCGGCCCCAGGGCCGGAAAACGCGGGCCTCCGGGGGCCCGGAGAGGAGGGCGGGGTTCGGC